ACGTTAACATATATAGCTTAAGAAACAAGGTTCATGAAATCAATAATTTGCTAGTAACATTTACATTTACATTTTAGTCATTTAGCAGACGCTCTTATCCAGAGCGACTTACAGTTAGCGAGTGCATACATTTTCATACTGGCCCCCCGTGGGTAACGAACCCACAACCCTGGCGTTGCAAACGCCATGCTCTACCAACTGAGCTACACGGGACCGAAGCTACACAGTAACAGATGACATTCATATTCTGACTATCTCTGAAACTCTCTTAGATAATACCTTTGATGATACAGTGGTACCAATACAAGGTTATAACATTTACAGAAAATATAGAAATGCCAATGGTGGAGGTGTTGCTGTTTATATTCAGAACCACATTCCCGTGAAAATTAGAGAGGATCTCATGTTAAATCCTGTTGAAGTAATAGGGCTACAGGTTCATCTGCCTCACCTAAAGCCCATTTTGTTGGGAAGCTGCTATAGACCACCAAGTGCTAAAAGTCAGTATCTGGATAACATGTGTGAAATCCTTGATAATGTATGTGATATCAATAGAGAGGTATGCTTTCTGGGTGATTTAAATATTGACTGTCTTTCATCAGGCTGCCCACTCAAGAGAAAGCTTCAAACTGTAACCAGTGCCTGCAACCTGGTTCAGGCATTCAGTCAACCTACCAAGGTAGTTACAAACAGTACAGGAATTAAATCATCAACATGTATTGATCATATCTTTACTAATGCTGCAGAGATTTGTTTGAAAGCAGTATCCAAATCCATTGGATGTAGTGATCACAATATAGTAGCCATATCTAGGAAAAACAAAGTTCCAAAGGCTGGGCCTAATATTGTGTATAAGAGGTCATACAATAAGTTTTGTAGTGATTCCTATGTTGTTGATGTGAAGAATATATGTTGTTCTGTGGTGTGTAATGAGGAGCAAACAGACACTGCACTTGACACATTTATGAAATTGCTTATTCCAGTTACTAATAAGCATGCACACATTAAGAAAATGACTGTAAAAACTGTTAAATCCCCATGGATCGATGAGGAATAGAAAAATTGTATGGTTGAGATGGATGATGCAATAGGAATGGCAAATAAGTCTGGCTGCACAACCGATTGGCAAACGTATTTCAATTTGAGCAATCATGTGACTAAACTGAATAAAAAGAAGAAACCACACTATGAAACAAAGATAAATGACATAAAGAATTATATTAAAAAGGCAAACTCAGCTCCATCACTCATTGAATCAGATGGCTCATTCATCACAAAACCAAATGCAAACTACTTTCATAATTTTTTAATTGGCAAGATTAGCAAATTTAGGCATGACATGCCAGCAAACAATTGCTGACACTATACATCCAAGTACATCTGACAAAATTATGAAAGACAAGCGCTGTAATTTTGAATTCCGTAAAGTGAGTGTGGAAGAGGTGAAACAAGTATTGTTGTCTATCAACAACGACAAGCCACCGGGGTCTGACAACTTGGATGGAAAATTACTGAGGATAATAGTGGACGATATTTCCACTCCTGTTTGCCATATTTTCAATTTAAGCCTACTAGAATGTGTGTGCCCCCAGGTTTGGAGGGAAACAAAAGTAATTCCGCTACCTAAGAATATTAAAGCCCCCTTTACTGGCTCAAATAGCCGACCAATTAGCCTGTTACCAACCCTTAGTAAACTATTGGAAAAAATGGTGTTTGACCAGATACAATGCTATTTTACAGTTTAAAAAAAGGACAACATACTTTCAGCATGCTTATAGAGAAGGACATTCAACAAGCACAGCATTAACACAAATGACTGATGATTGGCTGAGAGAAATTGAAGATAAAAAGATTGTGAGGGCTGTTTTGTTAGACTTCAGTGCAGCTTTTGACATTATCGATCATAGTCTGCTGCTGGAAAAACGTATGTGTTATGGCTTTACTACACCTGCTATATTGTGGATAAAGAGTTACCTCTCCAACATAATCCAGGTAGAATCAGGAGTTCCCCAGGGCAGCTGTCTAGGCCCGTTACTTTTTTCAATCTTTAGTAATGACATGCCACTGGCTTTGAGTAAAGCCAGAGTGTCTATGTATGCGGATGACTCAACACTATACATGTCAGCTACTACAGCGACTGAAATGACTGCAACACTTAACAAAGAGTTGCAGATAGTTTCAGAGTGGGTGGCAAGGAATAAGTTAGTCCTAAATATTTCTAAAACTAAAAGCATTGTATTTAGGACAAATCATTCACTAAACCCTAAACCTCAACTAAATCTTGTTGAGGTGACTAAACTGCTTGGATTAACCCTGGATTGTAAACTGTCATGGTCAAAACATATTGATACAACAGTAGCTAAGATGGGGAAAAGTATGTCCATAATAAAGCGCTGCTCTACCTTCTTAACAGCACTATCAACAAAGCAGGTCTTACAGGCCCTAGTTTTGCCACACCTGGACTACTGTTTAGTCATGTTGTCAGGTGCCACAAAAAATTACTTAGGAAAGTTGCAATTGGCTCAGAACAGGGCAGCACGGCTGTCCCTTGGATGTACACAGAGAGCTAATATTAATAATATGCATGTCAATCTCTCCTGGCTCAAAGTGGAGGAGAGATTGACTTCATCACTACTTGTATTTATGAGAAGTATTGACATGTTGAATGCACCGAGCTGTCTGTTTGAACTACTGGTGTACAGCTCGGACACCCATGCATACCCCACAAGACATGCCACCAGAGGTCTCTTCACAGTCCCCAAGTTCAGAACAGACTATGGGAGGCGCACAGTACTACATAGAGCCATGACTACATGGAACTCTATTCCACATCAAGTAACTGATGCAAAATTAGATTTAAAAAAAATATTTAAAAAACACCTTATGGAACAGCGGGGACTGTGAAGCAACACAAACATAGGCACAGACACATGCATACACACACACGATAACATTTGCACTATACACACACGTACACATGGATTTTGTACTGTAGATATGTGGTAGTGGTGGAGTAGGGGCCTGAGGGCACACACACAGTGTTGTGAAATCTGTGAATGTATTGTAATGTTTTAAAAATTGTATGAACTGCCTTAATGTTGCTGGACCCCAGGAAGAGTAGCTGCTGCCTTGGCATCAGCTAATGGGGATCCATAATAAATATAAATACAAATACAGTTGAAGCCGGGATTAATCTGTGAAGAGCACACTTCTCCAGCGTGCCAGTGGCAATCGAAGGTGAGCATTTGCCCACTGAAGTCAGATACGACGCCGAACTGCAGTCAGGTCAAGATCCTGGTGTGTACAACGAGCACGCAGATGAGCTTCCCTGAGATGCCTTCTGACAGTTTGTGCAGAAATTATTTGGTTGTACAAACCCAGTTTCATCAGCTGTCCGGGTGGCTGGTCCCCAGCACAAGGTGCACCTGTGTAATGATCATGCTGTTTAATCAGCTTCTTGATATGCCACACCTGTCAGGTGGATGGATTATCTTGGCAAAGGAGAAATGCTCACTAACAGGGACGTAAGCAAATGTGTATCCATCCCCTGTGAAAAGACTGGAGAGGTTCAAGCAAGTTCCCAGTATCAATGCAGATGAAGGAGAGAACACGAGGAGAGGACACCGCTTTATATTATTGAGATGCAGCTCGTCTGTGTGGTAAACTGGATGATGATGAGTGAGTGATGGGGGCTAGGCTAGTCATTAGCGGTGTGGTACTACTGTGTATCTGATATATCCGCCTGGTCCATTTGGCCGGCGGGCGGCAGTGGATGAGTGGTAATGTCCTGAAGTCAGCTAAGAGATAATAATAATAATATGAACAATACAGCGACCAATAGCGCTTCTCTGTAACCCAATGAGCCATTACACTGCCGCTACATGTGCTTTGCTTTTCCTGTGGTCCAATTGAAATGTTCAATGCAATTAGTAATGACTACTATCAGGAAACGCATTATTCAGTCTGGGTCCCTATTTACGATTAGCGTACTTACCCGTAAAAGCCTGATAAACTGATTGAGTTAGAGGGAGAGGCCCCTCGTAGGACATGACAAGATCCCCCGACTCGGATGTCATCGATCTGGGGCTGAAACCTCATCTCTCTGATCCGTCAACCTCAGGGTCGTATTCATTATGGAATGCAGAGGAAATGTTTTGCAACGGAAGACAGATATTAGGGTTTGTTATTGGACAAGCACAAGTTGTCCATCGCTATTTCAGTCGGTTTTGTTCCGTTTCATGCCTAATGAATACGACCCAGCCGTAGTAGGGACTGGTTCTTCATTATGCTAACCGCTAAATCAGGAGATGCTTCGATTTTGTTAACTTGTAAATTATCCTCATATCAGACCAGACCAGAGTGGAAGAAAGCCAGACAACATAATTTTAATAGAACATGTATCATTAGATACAGGATAAATAAGAAATGATGTACTGTATGTTCATGTCAAAATCATTTAATGACTATGCAAATCATTCAGAGAGATGTGTCAATAGGGTATTGATAAATTGACAGTGGAAGTTTAATACTGTTAATACTGACTATTACTCTGCATAGCAACACACATCAATAGAGAAAAAAACACTGAGCATTCAATGGAGTTTCAGTAAGAAAACAAATCCTTGATTTAAAACCGATTTTTGGCACAGGAAATACACTTTCCAATTAGTGTATATTTAATTGTTTTATAACTATGTAAAAAAATATATATATATAACATATGTAACCCATATTAAAACAGTCCCTCAACCAGTCGCTCCACAGAGCCATAATGGACGTTCCATCCAGGGTTGTGTTCATTAGACACCAACGGATGTAAACTGACTGAAACAGAGAGGCACTATGTGAACTTGTCCAATAACAAACCCTCATTTTCGTTTCCGCTACAAAACATTTTCTGTTGCGTGCTCTAAGCCTAAGGAATATGAAACAGGCTCTTTGTTTTCCAGCTCCTTCTTCTTCTCCTGGAGGTTGAGTAGGTGGTCGTCCGGGGCGATACCCTACTCTTTTAGCTCCGCCATGAACTTCTCTAGCTTCACCGTGGTGCGGGCACTGCCCACCTTCCTGCCCGTGAGGTACAGGGTGAACTCCTTAAAGTCCTTGTTGCACAGGTTGGGAAGGCTCAGAGTTGTCCACTCCACCTTGGGGAAGAAGGTCAGGCCCGACATGTTCTGCATGCTCGGATAGGTTCACCTGGAAGTCTGTTAGTGGACGCTTGAAGCCGATTGGCCGGTTGGGTACGATGAATGGTCCGAGGGCCAAGGTTTCTGATGCCGATTGGTTGTTCGCAAAATTGCCCGATGCCGATTGGTCCTTCCTGACGAGGATGACTTTGAAGAAGTGGGTGGGCACGGCCACGTCGTCTTTGCCTATGAACTGCACAAATAACCACACATTGCATTAAATCATGTTAAAACGCGCATTTTTCCATTTAGCATATTTTAGTCTACACGTGCTACAATAAATCGTAGACTAGGCTGTTCCGAGGCATGACAGTGTGTTAGTTTACGGAGGCCTCGTAAAATAACAGATACACTCGATGCCTTCAGTGTCCTGAGAACTCAAGGACAGGTGCACCGTGATTTATCGTCAAAGTTGTTAGCTCTAGATTAAAGTAGTCTCTAATCGCTGCGTGAAATAATCCAAAACCAAAGACCAGGAGCCAGCCAGTTATCGTTCAGTGAAGTAACAATTATTTCGGAAAAAATCGTAGAATTACAGTAGTAGGTATGTTTTCATTTATTATATTTTTTATTAATTCTTTATATGATCGTTTGGGATAGGACACTCTCATAAATCCTTAGGGTTTCTGCACAATTATGTTTCACTTCACTACTCATGTTTGTCTTTTATTGCTCCCTCTGATTTTACATGCAAAATAATTTTAAATAAATGGCTAGACCATAGAGCCTAGACTATAAGACAGGCTGGTATTGAGGAAACACAGTAATGTACACATTGGACGACTTGTTGTGAGATGGTATACGACAGTCTTGATGCCACGGACAGTCACTCTGACAGTCACTCTGACAGTCACTCTGACAGTGACAGGTGTGTGTGGGTTCCTTCCTTTGAAGATGGACCTCACCCACTGTGCAATAACAACACAGAGCTCTGTTAGAGGGGCAATAACCATTCAGTCACCACACTAACCCAGTGCCCGGGGCTCCGACTAAGGCCTTGACAACTACAGAGACCTCTCAGTGGGTTACATTACTCTAACTAAGGGGAGTACAGACTGTACACTAAGATTACATTTCCCTTCTTAAGGTCATAAAATGAAACTGGGGTTGTGAAACTGGGGTTGTGAAGGAAAGTACAGAAAAGAAAAGATGTATAGGCTTAGACATAGTATTGTTTGTAAGACATGTCAGCAACACAGTGAACTGGACAGGGACGAGCAATGTTGGAGATTTCTTATTGACAACCAGACTGACAAACCAGGTCTGGTTAAAACAATACAGTCTTCCACTAACTCTCTCCTACAGTAATTCCCCATAAGGTAGGTCTACTACACAGAGCTTTCACTCTTCTGTCTCTCTACGCTCCATCCCTTCCTCTCTCTCTCTCCCTCTTTCTCTCCCTTCTTCCTCTCTAGGTGGGAGTCCTGTTCTTGTTGATGGGAGGACAGTGTGTTGGCCCCTGATAAACAACAGGGAGGCCCCACTCCAGAGGGGATCATCTGGGATGAAGACACTGCACTCCAGGCCTCTCCCATGCTCTCCTGCGGCTGTTAGAGGCTGGCAGTGCCAACCTAAGGTGGGCAGTCCCCTCTAAATCCCAATCCCACACAGGAAACAAGGACCGCCTGGCACTACCCAGAGGACACTGTCATGGCAACTAGAGAGGTAGCAAAAGGGAATCATAAACTGTGTGTGTGTGTGTGTGTGTGTGTGTGTGTGTGTGTGTGTGTAATCCCCACTGCTGCAACTCAGGCCCCAGGTGGGTTTGGGGATTCAATGGGTGGAACACGGCCCCTGTCGTGGTTGATCTGTGTGTCAAGGTAACAGCCCCAAGGGCATCCGTCTGTCTGTTTACACTCTGGGACTCACTGGGGGATGCAAAAACAGTCATAGCACTCCTCCTGTGATAGACCAGCCAGAGGGGGGCAAAGCTAGGATGCCAATCCAACGCACATCAAAACACACTGTAACCTGATGGCAGGATGACGCAGCATCATGATGGACTGTTTTTAGTTTTTCTTTCAGATGTTAAAACTACTGAACAACCACTGGCAGAATCTAGCAAGTGTAATATTACGAATGAGCAAGCCTCTTTTATGAGTGACAATAGGGGTGGTGTTCAAGATTGTCCTTGAAAAAATAACAACTTAGTACTTGTGTTTTCTGAGGGTAGGAAGTCATAGCCGCAGGAAGTAGGGGTGCTGAGGGTGCAGCAGCACCCCTATAAAAATCGAGATGAAAATAAAATATAAATACATTTAAAAAATTTAGAAAAAATAAACATATTTCACAAAAGTAGTGCACTGGGCATTTACTAGTCCTGTATTAGCGGACTGATAGCACCCCCCACCCCAAAAAATCTTCCAACGGCTATGGTTGGAAGCCTTTCAAAAGATATTGGGCAACATCCACGAGGGATTCTTTGTTCAACATTGCCATCTAGTGGCCATGAGGCTGCACTGACATTTCCAGAAAAGAACCATCACACTGCCTCCTCCCTCTTCTCACACATCATACTATATAGATTGTATATTATAGATTATACCAATTATATAAATACCAGTACAATTATTTTTGGAGCTCTCATACAAACTAGGACCAGTGACATTATATGGACACTGTACCAGGAAGGCCAAAAAGATAATCAAGGACATCAACCACCCAAGCCACTGCCTGTTCACCCCGCTATCATCCAGAAGGCGAGGTCAGTACAGGTGCATCAAAGCTGGGACCGAGAGAATGAAAAACAGCTTCTATCTCAAGGCCATCTAACTGTTAAATAGCCATCACTAGCACATTAGAGGCTGCTGCTGCCTATTGAAATCACAGGCCACTTTAAGAAATGGAACACTAGTCACTTTAATAATGTTTACATAACTTGCACTACTCATCTCATATGTATATTCTGTATTCTATAATATTCCACTGTATCTTAGTCCATGCCGCTCTGTCATTGCTTGTCCATATATGTATGTATTCTTAAATTCCATTCCTTACTTGATTTGTGTGTATGTTGTGAAATTGTTAGATATTACTTGTTCGATATTACCGCACTGTCGGAGCTAGAAGCACAAGCATTTCGCTACACCCGCAATAACATCTGCTAAACACGTGTAGGTGACAAGTACAATTTTATTTTGTTTTGATTTGTAGGTAGAAGTTGCCCCTTCACACTGATCTTGGGTCAGTTTTTACATTTCCCCTACTAATGGTAAACGGGGAGATCTAGATCTGTACGTAGGGGAAACGTCACCCTGGACTGTACAGTGTGGTCCGCCTAACAGCTTGAGTTACCTGGTAGAACACTGTCTTTTTCCCATCAGCCCCCTCTTCAGGAAGAACCAGAGGTCCTGATATGAGCCACATGTCGTCAAAGCGCTTGGCCAGCTCCCTGCAGTACATCTCCAGTCTGGAATAGAAAACAGTCTCTATTAATCTGGAGCCACACAGGTTTGAGAGACTTGAAAGTGAAGTAAGCCTTCAGGTAGATTAGATTGAGAGAGTTTCATTTCAGCATATGTCATTCCATTTATATACAGTATTAGGACCAAGTAGTATCACCTAACTTGTGGAATAATAGCTGGCGTTGTTTTCATAGTTGTGGGGCACAATGTTGGACAGCTAGAAGGTCTCGGCCATTGACTGCTGTTGACAGGGACAGAATCATAGACCATTCTGTGAGAGTGATTCATATCACATACCTTCAAAACAAAGGGACTAAAGTCACTGGTGTAAACGCCATCGACTGATGACGAGACAATACAACAAGATCAGCTTACTGTTCTAAACCAAAAGATGACTTTCCTGATCAAACATCATGTGGACTGTAAACAGAATTAATGTAAACTGTAACGAGGACCTAGAATGACACCAACGTGTTGGACATGTGTGTTGGTAGGGTAGGGCAGTGGTTCCCAAACTGTGGGGCGCGCGAGGAAGGAACTCAGTCCGGCTTTAAACTTACTCTTGAAGGTTGTAATAGTAGAATGCACAAGGTGCAATTTCGAAATTGGGTAGTGCATCATCAGTTCCTCTTGTCATGTCAGTCATTGCATACCCTAGAGAGCTATTTATAACTTGTCAGAAAAGTCCAGTTCATTAGCCCATGTCAGCTAAAGTAATTTTTATTAATTTTTTATCATAGATATTGTTGTAATTTTTTTGTCACTCAAATATCACATGAATACACATTAGACATGGCACAATGTATAGCTTTAAACTGCAGCATTTTCTTTGCACCCCATGACAAAATGTGTAGAATTGCAGGAAATAAGCTTTAAACCTGCCGAATTCTCTCCACCAACAAGAGGAGGATGAACAGTTTGTGTCATGAACAGTGCTTGTGATCATAGAAATAGACTTGGTGCGTGCAGGGGGGGTGCGGGATGTTCCCCAATGCTGGAAGGGGGACTCCCTGGGGTAGTTTGGGAACCCCTGGGGTAGGGTACCTCCGAGGACTTGTTGTTTCCTGCGGGGGCCATGTGGCCTCTGGACCAGCCACGGCCCAGGTAGTCTGCATTGTGTGCAGTGAAGGGTTCTGGGATACTGGGGTATAGCTTGAACGTAGTGCTTTCTGTCGGCTTTCCCTGCGGCAGCAAGAAGAAGAGTCACATCTAGGATCTCGCTCTAACTGTATCTCTCATTGTTATTACCAAATTAGTACATTAACATTAGCCTATTACTCAATTATTACCTAATAGTTTCTCGTGTGACAGGTGCTCTGCGACCCATCTCAGTGCTTTTCCTGGCTTGGTCGTAGGACAATGTGTGGTTGGCGTAGCATCGCATCTCAGCTCCTGTCAAGGGGAAGTCATACCACCCTATGTCCTGCTGGACTTGAGGAACTGTAACAAAGCATTGGTGTTATTCAGACAGACAACAATAGGGCAAGATTCTACCAATCTAGTTAGCTATTTGACAGTGAAATGAAAATACAGCCACATTTAGCTGGTGGCTGTATTTGTGGCTACTTTTTCATATGATTAATTGTGTATTTGGGTACCTAGTAACAACACAACACAATGCCACAGTTGTCTCATGTTTTGAGGGAGCGTGCAATTGGAATGTCCACCAGAGAGGTTGCCAGATAATATAATGTTCATTTCTCTACCATAAGCCGCCTCCAATGCCGTTTTAGAGAATTTGTCAGCACGTCCAACCGGCATCACAACCGCAGGCCATGTGTATGGCGTCGTGTGGAGGAGCTTTTAGCTGATGTCAACGTTGTGAAGAGTGCCCCATGGTGATGGTGGGGTTATGGTTTGGGCAGGCATAAGCTACGGACAACGAACCAATTGCATTTTATCCATGGCAATTTGAATGCACAGAGATACCGTGACGAGATCCCGAGGCCCATCCTCTGTAGCTCAATTGGTAGAGCATGGCGCTTGTAACGCCAGGGTAGTGGGTTCGATCCCCGGGACCACCCATACGTAAAAATGTATGCGCGCATGACTGTAAGTCGCTTTGGATAAAAGCTTCTGCTAAATGGCATATTATTATTATATTGTCGTGCCATTCATCTGCCGCCATCATAATGCACGGTTCCATGTCGCAAGGATCTGTACACAATTCCTGGAAGCGGAAAATGTCCCAGCTCTTCCATGGCCTGCATACTCACCAGACATGTCACCCATTGAGCATGTTTTGGATGCTCTGGATCGACGTGTACAACAGTGTTCCAGTTCCCGCCAATATCCATCAACTTGGCACAGCCTTTGAAGAAGAGTGGGACAACATTCCACAGGCCACAATCAACATCCTGATCAACTCTATGCGAAGGAGACGTATCGCGCTGCATGAGGCAAATGGTGGTCACACCAGGTAGTGACTGGTTTTCTGATCTACACCCCTAACATTTTTTTAAAGGTATCTGTGACCAACAGATGCATATCTGTATTCCCAGTCATATGAAATTCATAGATTAGGGCTGAATTAATTTATTTCAATTGACTGATTTCCTTATATGAACTGTAACGCAGTAAAATCTTGTTGTTGCATGTTGGGTTTATATTTTTGTTCAGTATTTTTTCCTAACAGAAGACTTCACAGAAGCCTGTAAAAAATAGCCCATCCGATTACAATGTCTGGCTATGCGAGCCCATGTTCTCACATACTACAGTTAGCACAAATAGATGAACAGGCTACACCTCAAGCATGAACAAAAATGTAAAGAATTACAAATGAATCACTCTAGTTCTGCTGTGCTGTATGTTTCTGTAGGACTGAGGAGCCTTGGTGAGTTCAGATGTGCAGTAATCTTGTGTAAGTATGAGTAGTAGAGGCATTTAGCCCACTGCTGTACGTGTTTGTTCACTGCAGGTGGAGCATTTCACAGTTGAAGCAACATAGCATTCCAGAGAAGCAACATTCAGTCAGCTCCATTCAAGGCCACTGTGCCTACACAGAATACACTCAACATTATCACATAAAAACGTTATATTTTTTATTATGCTGCGGTGATCAACATACTAGCACACTAGAAAACGCATGAACACACATACTGTAAATAAACATACATATAATTCTGATTAACAAGGTCGGTGTAGCTTGGTTGGTCGAGCATGGCGCTTGCAACACCAGGGTTGTGGGTTCCATTCCCACGGGGGACCAGTAAGAAAAAAAGTATGAAAATGTATACACTCACTACAGGAAGTTGCTCTGGATAACTGGGTCTGCCAAACCACAACATATGTAAAATAACAACTGTCGTCATGGACAATGTAGGCACATAAAGAACGTAGACGCGGCAATCAAATGCTTTAACAGTATTTTATTGTTTACTTTCATATACAAAAAGATCAAAATGAAATAATCCTTTCTAGTATTTTTTCTCTAACAGTCAGGGTGTAGTTGTTTCACACTGGACAAATACTACATTCATACTGGTTTATTCTGGCACCAAGTGCAGAGTCGAAACAGCCACACCTCAACAAGGCAAATCTATTTCAAACTCTGGATACTGAGTTCTAAAATTACCACAGTAAAAAGGAACAATGAACCACTGCAAATTAAAAAACTATGTTACAATGATCATTCAAAAAAAGTCCTCGTCGTTACGGCATAACAATGGATGTTGGATTTTTTTCTGGGCATTTCACACACACACACACACACACACACACACACACACACACACACACACACACACACACACATATATATATATACACACATATACATATATATATACATATATACACATATACATATATATACACATATACAGTGGGGGAAAAAAGTATTTAGTCAGCCACCAATTGTGCAAGTTCTCCCACTTAAAAAGATGAGAGAGGCCTGTCATTTTCATCATAGGTACACGTCAACTATGACAGACAAATTGAGAATATTTTTTCCAGAAAAACACATTGTAGGATTTTTTATGAATTTATTTGCTAATTATGGTGGAAAATAAGTATTTGGTCACCTACAAACAAGCAAGATTTCTGGCTCTCACAGACCTGTAACTTCTTTAAGAGGCTCCTCTGTCCTCCACTCGTTACCTGTATTAATGGCACCTGTTTGAACTTGTTATCAGTATAAAAGACACCTGTCCACAACCTCAAACAGTCACACTCCAAACTCCACTATGGCCAAGACCAAAGAGCTGTCAAAGGACACCAGAAACAAAATTGTAGACCTGCACCAGGCTGGGAAGACTGAATCTGCAATAGGTAAGCGGCTTGGTTTGAAGAAATCAACTGTGGGAGCAATTATTAGGAAATGGAAGACATACAAGACCACTGATACTCTCCCTCGATCTGGGGCTCCACGCAAGATCTCACCCCGTAGGGTCAAAATGATCACAAGAACGGTGAGCAAAAATCCCAGAACCACACGGGGGGACCTAGTGAATGACCTGCAGAGAGCTGGGACCAAAGTAACAAAGCCTACCATCAGTAACACACTACGCCGCCAGGGACTCAAATCCTGCAGTGCTAGACGTGTCCCCCTGCTTAAGCCAGTACATGTCCAGGCCCGTCTGAAGTTTGCTAGAGTGCATTTGGATGATCCAGAAGAGGATTGGGAGAATGTCATATGGTCAGATGAAACCAAAATAGAACTTTTTGGTAAAAACTCAACTCGTCGTGTTTGGAGGACAAAGAATGCTGAGTTGCATCCAAAGAACACCATACCTACTGTGAAGCATGGGGGTGGAAACATCATGCTTTGGGGCTGTTTTTCTGCAAAGGGACCAGGACGACTGATCCGTGTAAAGGAAAGAATGAATGGGGCCATGTATCGTGAGATTTTGAGTGAAAACCTCCTTCCATCAGCAAGGGCATTGAAGATGAAACGTGGCTGGGTCTTTCAGCATGACAATGATCCCAAACACACCGCCCGGGCAACGAAGGATTGGCTTCGTAAGAAGCATTTCAAGGTCCTGGAGTGGCCTAGCCAGTCTCCAGATCTCAACCCCATAGAAAATCTTTGGAGGGAGTTGAAAGTCCGTGTTGCCCAGCGACAGCCCCAAAACATCACTGCTCTAGAGGAGATCTGCATGGAGGAATGGGCCAAAATACCAGCAACAGTGTGTGAAAGCCTTGTGAAGACTTACAGAAAACGTTTGCCAACAAAGGGTATATAACAAAGTATTGAGAAACTTTTGTTATTGACCAAATACTTATTTTCCACCATAATTTGCAAATAAATTCATTAAAAATCCTACAATGTGATTTTCTGGAGAAAAAAAATCTCATTTTGTCTGTCATAGTTGACGTGTACCTATGATGAAAATTACAGGCCTCTCTCATCTTTTTAAGTGGGAGAACTTGCACAATTGGTGGCTGACTAAATACTTTTTTCCCCCACTGTATGTGTGTGTGTGTGTATATATATATATATATATATATATATATATATACATACATACATACACACACACACATATATACACACACACACACATACATACATACATATATATATATATAAAACTTTTAAACATATTATTCAATCCAAAAGAGGGGTTACAGCAACAAGCTCAACTCTCTGTATACATTTAGTCTTATACAGATTATTTTACTATATTTATGTTAAAATCAGTAGTACAAGCCATCTCTGTTCTACAATTTAGCTACAATAGTGAAACATAACCTACAACATTTACATTTCACGTATCCTGGTATAGAAACAACACTTTTAAATAAGACCCCTTGACAAAACAAGAAAGAACCCCCCCCCCCCCCCCCTGACCCGTTTGCCGAATCCTGCACCCTTGTTTTGGTGGGTCTTGGAAGAAAGACATTGTGAATTAGTCCTTGCAGTGGAATTGTTTTTCGGTTTTGTTTGGTTGAACACTTCCAAACAATGCAAGGAGCCACTGGCAAGCTCTTAGGAGGAAAAAACGAACATTCACCATTGACATTGTCTACCAACAGCAAATCCCACCTCTTTTTAAAGGAGCGAAAGAAACTGGCACTGTATGGAATAATGGCTTTTTAAAGCATAGAGTAGCAAGCTATTCTAACCCAGAGGCTAAAAAGAAGTTGTGGGACGTTTTTAGCAATTGGCAGAATCAATAGTTCTCCGCCGCTGGGAAAGGTCTTAATACTTTAAGAGGATAAGTCAATTGGCCGGGCTCACAGCTCGCTGCTGCTGATTGACACAAGACCTGAACACTGATCTCTGGGAAAACATGAGGTAATGTTCACATGGCCTGAGCCACTGTCTGCGCATAGTAAATACACAAAGTAATAACAGTTAGAGATGCTCATAGAGAGTTGGGTAAAGTAAAAATAAGAAGAATCCAAGTGGGATTGATAACCAAATCTTAGGGTACAATGGTAATTAGTGTTGTTATGGGGGCTTTTTTGCGAGCTAGACAGGGCTAGAATGAAATCTCAGCCAACTGAATGTTTTAACAGTCTGAAAAAATCCTCAGTCAGTAGCAATCACCAGAACCATTTTGTTTCAGTTCTGCCTGATGACAGAGTGAGCTGTTAAACCGCTATACACTAACAATTTCAGTTGGGGAAAGTAGCAGACGAAGCACTTGAAAACGGTTTTCCATACAATACAATTTCTTTGCTGTTGAAAAATAAAAAGAGGTGAGATGCTGAGAAGGGACAAGGGTTTTCACATTGTCAAGGGGTGCATGATACATGTTACACTAGTACAAACGAGGTAACCTGTTGTCATGACGAAAGTGTACACCATTATTCTGTAGTGTCGACGACTATCCAGCTAACAACACTGTTTCACGTGAGGTCTGAGGTAATTGGTTCCTGAACAACCTGGATCTAAGACTGCATCCAGAATTACAGCTGGTCACTTTAAGAGTTTTATATTAGAGTATATATATATATATATATATATATATATATATATATATATATATAGCATTTCTTTGTCAGGTACTAATAAGAAATAAACAAACAGGGGCACCGCAGCAGTAGCTTCAGCAACGACCATGAGGAAAATAAAGGCACAACATCAGAACACCTCAGAATTTCCGTCCGACACTCCCGGATAGCAATGTTGCTGATATTTCATGCTGTTTATATTCCAAAACTTCACCTTTGTCATCATGAACCACAATGTGAGTATTGGTAAGAATAGATCACAGATTTGACCCTATGTCCAATGCATAGGAGGCTGGTGGGAGGAGATATAGGAGGACAGGCTCATTGTAATGGCTGGAATGGAATGGCACCAAACACAAACACATTGAAACAACGCGTTTGAGGCTCCGTTCCATTTATTCCATTCCAATGAGCCAATCCTCCTATAGCTCCTCCCACCAGCCTCCTCTGGTCCAATGCACTAAAGCTCAAATATTCTTTTGGAAAGACCTATGTTAAATCCAGCTCCCATTCCATCTCATCCTGGCCCTAAGCTCTCAGATGAAAGACTCAACTAGAGAGACGGTAGAATCCTTAAAATGGCACCAGAGTAAAAATCCAGACAATGATGAAAGACTAGAGTAACACTTGCCTTTCCCATCGTGGCTAAAACTTTAAAACCTCAGATTGGTATTGTAGAACTCATCATAACACTGACCAACAAAATAGAAAGAAGTGCATCGAGACCACTATTTGGAAAGAAACCTTTGAGATTTAAATTTTGAATTCTAACAACTCACTTTTCAGACCTTACCCCCTGCACTGGCTCTCCCTCATCAAAAGCATCCACTTAACTCCTGAAAAAGGTGGTAAAAAGGTCATAGCAGGTGAAATAAAGGCCAAAACGTCAGATTACTTTCTCTAGCTTCTCAAATCATCAAAGTCAAAGGGTCAAACTGGCAGATAAAGGTTTTGTCTCCACTGTTACAAATGTTAACAGCAAAGTGAGACAACCTGGTCTCAGAGCATTTCGTATTATTCGGTACGTAAAACCGAGACATCCATTTAGTATGATGTTTGGTATGTAACCATACCAAACGTAACATATCATACTGATTTGAGTGTCCCGGATTTACATTTACTATGTCACATCTAGTCAATGAGACCAGGCTGAGTGAGAGAATTACCCCCCAAAAAATAGAAAAACAGAAAGACTTTGGTTCCCTCTTGCAGACTTAGGTGCAAGGGATTTGGCTACATGTTTAAAGGTCTGACTGAATAAAAGGTGAAGGCCTATCATAACTCAACGAGCACTATGACCAAGACAATGACTTGGGATCGACAAACCAACCTTCGTCTTGACAACAACAAAGCACATTTTCAACAAGACGTTGAGGTTGGTCGCTAGCTCAAGGGCCTATTACAGTACTTATGAGGTCAGAAAGAATATGTAGAACTATTGCTGTAGATATTGCTTGCTACATTTTACATCCAAACTGGCAATTTCTTGATCCCGTTACATTTATAGCAGAAGTACAGTAAAAAATACTTCTACATCAAACACTAACCTGATCATTTGACAAACATAACCTTGATTTGCTAACAAGGCATTGAAGTCAAACCAATAATACCTCTGTCCTGGTTACTGATAAAATGGTGGGAAGTCAATCCAGAGAAACTACAAAGAGCTGAATGAGTGTGCTTCCTTGTCAGAATAAGGACTTGCTGTTTTCTTGCCCTCTAACACAGGGAAAGAGGGGCTCCTTGAAAAGTAGTGTCTTTACAGACCGAAATACTTGTTCAAGTTTCCTAACCACAAAAGCTTAAATAAAGCTAGCTATGGTTTCACTTACTCCAAGCAACCCGATCGCAGCGATCCGCGGGCCCACGTCAAACACTGGGGTTTCATGATGACAAGAGATTGTAGTTATGAGGCTCTCCATGCTCTCGCTTCTCCATGGGTATAACTAAAACCCTCTGAATCCCTCTGCGCACATGGTTCCACTTACACATGTGGAACGCTGCTGACAGATCTAGAACCTTAAAAACGCATGGCACAGCGAACAATAACTTATAACAATAACTCTCCTCTGTAGGGTGTAGGGTTTTTAAGAAGCTGAGGCCGCTGCAGTGCCTCGTCAGTCAATGTGAAAGGAGAATCCGGGGACAATAACCTATAATCTCTTGGTATTCATTTAGTATTTTCCGTATAAACGCTTTCTTTTTTATCACGGAATGGGATAAGTCATTAAATACATTTTAAAAGCAATGACAAACCCAAGATACACTATAAATACAAAAGTATGTGGACACCCCTTCAAATTAGTGAATTCGGCTATTTCAGCCGCATCCGTTGCTGACAGGTATAGAAAATCGAGCGCACAGCCATGTACTCTCCATAGACAAACACTGGCAGTAGAATAGCCTTACTGAAGAGCTCAGTGACTTTCAACGTGTCACCGTCATAGGATGCCACCTTCCCAACAAGTCAGTTCATCAAATTTCTGCCCTGCTAATGTGAAGTGGAAACATCTCGGAGCAACAACGGCTCAACCGTGAAGTGGTAGGCCACACAAGTTCACAGAACAGGACCGCCGAGTGCTGAAGCGCGTAGCATGTAAAAATCGTCTGTCCATGGTTGCAACACTCACTACCAAGTTCCAAACTGCCTCTGGAAGCAACGTCAGCACAATAACTGTCGTCGGGAGCATCATGAAATGGGTTTCCATGGCCGAGCAGCCGCACACAAGCCTAAGATCACCATGCGAGAAATGCCAAGTGTCGGCTGGAGTGGAGTTAAGCTCGGCGTCATTGGACTCTGGAGCAGTGGAAATGCGTTTTTTGAAGTGATGAATCACGCTTCACCATCTGGCAGTCTGACTGACAAATCTGGGTTTGGCGGATGCCAGGAGAACGCTACCTGCTCCAATGCATAGCGCCAACTATAAAGTTTGGTGAAGGAGGAATAATGGTCTGGGGCTGTTTTTCATGGTTCAGGCCGCTTAGTTCCACTGAAGGGAATTCTTAACGCTACAGCATACATTCTAGAATTTGTGGCAACAGTTTGGGGAAGGTCCTTTCCTGTTTCAGCATGACAATGCCCCCATGCACAAAGCGAGGTCCATACAGAAATGGTTTATCGAGATCGGTGTGGAAGAACTTGACTGGCCTGCACAGAGCCCTGACCTCAACCCCATCGAACACCTTTGGGATGAATTGGAACGCCGAATGCGAGCCAGGTCTAATCGACCAACATCAGTGCCCGACCTCACTAACGCTTGTGGCTGAATGGAAGCAAGTCCCCGCATCAATGTTCCAACATCTAGTGGAAAGCCTTCCCAGAAGAGTGGAGGCTGTTATAGCAGCAAAGGGGGGACCAATCCATATTAATGCCCATGATTTTGGAATGAGATGTTTGACGAGCATGTGTCCACATACTTTTGGCCATGTAGTGTATATCGTAGGGTATGCAAAAATATTACTGGTCAGACACGGTGGTGGATGGATATTCATTTTTTGGGAGGAAAAACCAAATACAGGTTCAATGTCCTTTTAGGTAACGGAGAGGAAAAGATGAGTTGAGGAAAAAGCCTGCACAAATTATGAATAATGCTCAGGCGTCATACTGTATATAGGTAGAATTCTACAACTGTATACAGCTATTTACAAGATGTTCTTTCATTTATACAACATGACACGGTAGCACTTCTTTAAAAGATTTTGGACATTGTATCTTCCAAAATTCCCTAATCATAAAAGCCAAATAAACCCATACCTACTACAAGTCAACACAACTAACAAAATATAGAACAGAACTCATACACATAGAAAAATCTGAGGTATTTCTGGTTTGAGGTGGTCTGTGGTTCATGAACAATATATATATATTTTAGTGTTTTCGTTTATGTTCTATATCTACTAGATTTTATTGTTTGTGTTCTTCTCTTTCACATCGGAAGCCTTGTCATCTCTACCAACATACTTTTGCTCTTGTATGCACGTTTAGTTAAATCTACTGAGATTTGTATGTGTGTGTAATGCACTGAAAAAAAAGGAACACACAGAAATATATTCATCTTTGAGCTGAAACAGCAGCATTGTGGACATTCACTGTTACATTACGACATAGGGAAATGTGGTTTCTTGCGTGTGACTTTTAAGACAAAAAAAAGGTTCCTTGTTTGTTTTTTGTTTTTTGTTGTTATTTTGATCTTCTAATGATCGAGAACGTGTAACCAATCTGAATGAAGTGAAGTTTAAATAGGTTGTTACGCTTGGTGCCCTGTCGAAAACCTTTCTACAATGCAGGACCTACCCGGTCAAAACTCAAAGTTTGGTCCCTGTGAGAAAGAGGTAAATAATGACGGGACCAGGCAGTGACGCTTCAACTGTACTCCGCCCGCCCTCCCTCCCTCCCTCCCTCCCTCCCTCTCGACACTAGTGAAGGATATAGGCTTTTGCTGAGCCCTAAGATGGACCTCTGTGGATAGAGTCTAGGGCCTTAGCTGCCAATGTCCAATACACTCACTGAAATAAAAGATAAGAAATAACAGAACAAAAAGACAATACAAAATAAAAGGGAAACATTTAACTCATCTTCAGCTATTTCCTGCTGAACCTTTTTTTCCATGGTCTTAATCTCCTCCCTCTCCACTATGCACTCATACACTCTCACAGCAAAAATAGTCACACGCAAACACACAACACGCATTCATTCTCACACCCGAAATGCATACATATCTTCACCATGGTCTTGCACCTATTGTGGTTTTCATAGTTTAGTGTTTTTGTAGTTGTTTGGGCACCGTCCATGTTTAGACCGTTTTGATCTCAGCTAAAAAGGTTTGAACCATGTCAGAAAAGCCCCTCCCACCAAAGTTTTCCCCGCCCTACCCATCAAAGGCGGTGGTTGTGGCTCTCGCCCTACTTTACGGGACGCATTGCGATATCACCTTAAATCATAATCTCCTGACCCCTTGAGACTGGTTACCTGAGAAGTAGCTCCGTACCAAACAAAATGCACTATCCAGATGATGTGGGAAGAAAGCCATTTTTTCTTTTGAACTTTTCAACATCCACTCATTAATATGCTTTAGTCAACCCCATTCAGAGTCACCAGTATGAACATAGCAAAAACCAAAAAGAAATAAGTCCAGTTGCCTTCCACTTTTCCCTGTGTTCTAGAGACACCCGTTAGTTCCGAAGGTTTGTATAGCACACTGTCGGAAAGGAAAGGTTTTCTGAAAACATAAATCCCTTGAGGAAGGTTAGTTGTGTGTAAGTCTTAATGTTCCTACAAGGTTTTTGCAGCATTGTTGTATTGTCCAACATGGTAGATGGTTGCTTAGTTGGTTGGTTTTGTCACAGGCAATCCTGTCCAGAAGACAGAAAGAGGAACAAACTAAACCCAAAGAAACGGCTGAGAGCTGAAAACGGTTGAGGTACCTGCGCCATGTCAGCATTCATAAGTCGGCACCTGAATGCACTTTTGAATTTCACTTTTTATTTTTTCTTTCTTGTCCTCTCTTGATAAAAACACAGAAGAGAAGAAGTAATATTGATCCGATTGGAAAGAAAATAACAATAATAATAAATGTTTTTTAAAAAATGTCCGGATAAAACAGCAGCTGCATTCATGTGTTTTTTTTTCTTTTCTGAGATCCGCTGAGGCTGAAGAAGAAGAAAAGGCTGTTTTGTTTGCTTGCTTGTTGTCGCTCTGCGTTGGGTGGGTGGGTGTTGGTAGGGTGAGGTTGGGACTCAGATACTGGACTCTTTGGGTGGCAAGTCCACGTTGGTGACAGAGGTCACCATTGAGACCAGGCAGTCTGAGGTAGGGGGGCTGGTCAGCCGGCGGATCTGCGAGATGCGCTCCTCCACGCAGCCGGCCGAAAGGCGCGCCTCCGCGTCATGGTCCCAGCACTCCTCTATAGTCTCACACATCGACTCCAGGCCCTGGGAGACACATCAGTTAGGACATGAACATCTCAGCACTTAACTAAACATGTTTATGCGTTGAAGTCACGCCTGGGTGACATATTGTGGGAAATGTGAATCAAACTGTACTGCTGTAAGGACATCCCAGTATTGACCTACGGCTTTCTTAGTTGGAGACAGAGCTGGCATACTCACAGCGTGTTTGAGCCAGCAGTCCTTGAAGACCGGCCTCATCTTTTTGTGGACCACCACGTCCTGTAAGTCCTCCAGGGACGGGTGCTGGCCGATCTCCTCCTCAAACGGCAGCATGTACTCATCCACTGGGCCTGACCATACAACACAATAGCAACGTCTTAGCATGGAACCCCAATAGGCTATGCTATGTTGTTACCCACAAGCTATCAACATTCTTGTGTTCTCATTTGTCAATTACACTACATTAAAAGTTCTCAGCCTGATTCCAATGTGGTATGATTGACGATAAATCGGCAAGTATGATCCTGTGTGTGTGTGTGTGTGTGTGTGTGTGTTAGTGTGTGACTCACCATCGGCCGCCTTGCAGCGTGACACCAGCTCCCACAGCACCAGGCCCATGGAGTACATGTCTATCCTGAGGAAGGCATCCCGCTGGAAGTTAATGGCCCCTTCCAGGACCTCCGGCGCCATGTAGCGCCTGGTACCCACCTGGATGGACAAAACGCTGTCAGACAAGGTCCCCTACACACACACACACAAGCGGATGCACATACACTCACACACTTCCTTTTCCTTGTCATGTGAGTACATGAGCTAGCTTTAAAGCAGTGTCTCCATGATGTTCTTTGTTCACAGTTAGTATGATCGATTTACTTGTCTGAAATATTGTTCACTGGTCAAAAGTAGTCAACTCTATGGGGAATGGGGCGCCATTTGGGACGGACTGATGGTGACCCACTCACCTGGCCGTGAGTGTCCCCTGGGGGCTTGCCCGGCTCAAACCGCACCGCCAGCCCAAAGTCTCCGATGATGGCCGTCAGGTCCGTCCGCAGCATCACGTTCTTACTCTTGAAGTCCCTGGAGGGGAGAAGGAAGAGAGGATGGGGGTTCAGTGATGGTGTGTAGCAGGGCTACTGAACTACATGGCAGCAGGGCTACTGAACTACGCGGCAGCAGGGCCACTGAACTACGCGGCAGCAGGGCCACTGAACTACGCGGCAGCAGGGCCACTGAACTACGCGGGAGCAGGGCCACTGAACTACGCGGCAGCAGGGCTAATTAACTACACGGCAGCAGGGCTACTGAACTACGCGGCAGCAGGGCCACTGAACTACGCGGCAGCAGGGCCACTGAACTACGCGGCAGCAGGGCCACTGAACTACACGGCAGCAGGGCCACTGAACTACACGGCAGCAGGGCTACTGAACTACACGGCAGCAGGGCTACTGAACTACACGGCAGCAGGGCTACTGAACTACACGGCATCAGGGCTATTGAACTACACGGCATCAGGGCTATTGAACTACACGGCAGCAGGGCTAATGAACTACACGGCAGCAGGGCTATTGAACTACATGGCAGCAGGGCTATTGAACTACACGGCAGCAGGGCTAATGAACTACACGGCAGCAGGGCTATTGAACTACATGGCAGCAGGGCTATTGAACTACACGGCAGCAGGGCTATTGAACTACACGGCAGCAGGGCTATTGAATTACACGGCAGCAGGGCTACTGAACTACACGGCAGCAGGGCTATTTAACTACACGGCAGCAGTGCTATTTAACTACACGGCAGCAGGGCTAATGAACTACACGGCAGCGGGGCTATTGAACTACACGGCAGCGGGGCTATTGAACTACACGGCAGCAGGGCTATTGAACTACACGGCAGCAGGGCTGATGAACTACACGGCAGCAGGGCAAATGAACTACACAGCAGCAGGGCTATTTAACTACACGGCAGCAGGGCTAATTTACTACACGGCAGCAGGGCTGATGAACTACACGGCAGCAGGGCAAATGAACTACACAGCAGCAGGGCTATTTAACTACACGGCAGCAGGGCTAATTTACTACACGGCAGCAGGGCTAATGAACTACACGGCAACAGGGCTATTTAACTACACGGCAGCAGGGCTATTTAACTAATCGGCAGCAGGGCTACTGAACTACACAGCAGCAGGGTTATAGAACTACACGGCAGCAGGGTTATAGAACTACACGGCAGCAGGGTTATAGAACTACACGTCAGCAGGGCTATTGAACTACACGGCACAACGTAGCAAAAAGATTTGCGGCAGAAAACAGAAACACGTTTTCTTATTGGACAAGTTCAGGTAGTACCTCCCCCATTTCAAAACGTTTTCTGCGTACTGAACCAGACCGTGTTTTTTGTTTGTTTTTTTACCCCTTTTACTCCCCAATTTCATGATATCCAATTAGTAGTTACAGACTTTTCCCATTGCTGCAACTCCTGTACGGACTCGGGAGAGGCAAAGGTCGAGAGCCATGTGTCCTCCGAAACATGACCCCGCCAAGCCGCACTGCTTCTTGACACACTGCTCGCTTAACCCAGGAGTCAGCCGCACCAATGTGTCGGAGGAAACAATACAATCTGGATGACCCTGGGCCAATTGTGCGCCGCCTCATGGGTCTCCCGGTCACGGCCGGCTGTGACACAGCCTGGGATCGAACCCGGGTCTGTAGTGACGCCTCAAGCACTGCGATGCAGACCGCTGCGCCACTCGGGAGGCCGGTTTTCTTTTCTACCAGTTCAATTAACATCAGTGATTGGCCTGAGAGTTTCATTCCCTGGTGTCCCAGGTCTGAAAAGGACCATATAGAATTTAGTTGGCCCCACAACTGATTTGGGATCAGTTTGCCCTTTCGTCAAGATAGGTCTTATCCTGAACTACACACGAATAAAGAAGAAAGACCTGCTGCCAACAGAGAAAGGTTATGTCTAGATTTATGACACAGTTTAATCATAACTGAATTGAAGTGTTTTCCCAATGGCATAAACTGTAAACAATTTGATTTCCTGCAGTCAAATAAAATTGCAGTCCAGAGGTTTGAGTGCTGTTAAAAGAACAGACTCCCTCAGGGATAGATGCCTCCGGATTGCAGAATGACGACACAGGTGCCCGCAGAGAGAACAAAAATTCAGCATAATCATTGCTAAGGTATAGGATTACCTTATCTTAACTTACCAGATAGGTCATCGAGAAAACAGAAACACTGCTCGAACCAGGTCCCAAATCGAATACCTCTCTTTGTCTCTCACACACAGCAGTGCTGTCCTCGTGTGCTCTTACCTGTGAGCGATGGCCGGTTTGGGTCCCTCTCCTTTGTAGCGAGGCACGTCCTCGTGCAGGTAGGCCAGCCCGCAGGCCATGGTCTCAGCGATGTGACACAGCTCAGTCCAGCTGATCGCGTTCCCTTTCAGATAGTCTGTCAGGGAACCCTGGAGTAGACACACAGGCAGGCACACACATATACAGAACGAGAGAGACAGAGACAGCAAAAGAGCGAAAGAGAGAGAGAGAGAAAAAGCGAGAGAAAGAAAGAAAGAGAGAGAAAGAGAGAGAGAAGTGGAGCTGTTAACAACAAGATAAAGTAAGACATCCTGAGAGCACACTAAAAAGCATTTCAATGATTGAACTGGGAAAAATATAAGTGTATTCGACTGCAGAGACAGGGTCGCTATCATTCATACATAGTTTATTGTCCGAGATCAATGAACGCCAGCCACTGCGGTCTGTCAAATCGAGTGCTATTAAACTGTAGCAAAACAACTTTTGCGGTATTGAAAATTCAACAGCGAGGAAAATGAAAAGGCAATACATCTCGGATAGGGATGGGCCCAGTTATTTGAATATCCAAACAAGTTTATATTTATTCATATATACACATACAGTGGGGGAAAAAAGTATTTAGTCAGCCACCAAAAAAGTATTTAGTCAGCCACCAATTGACCAAAAAATCCAGAAAATAACATTGTAGGATTTTTAATGAATTTATTTGCAAATTATGGTGGAAAATAAGTATTTGGTCAATAACAAAAGTTTCTCAATACTTTGTTATATACCCTTTGTTGGCAATGACACAGGTCAAACGTTTTCTGTAAGTCTTCACAAGGTTTTCACACACTGTTGCTGGTATTTTGGCCCATTCCTCCATGCAGATCTCCTCGAGAGCAGTGATGTTTTGGGGCTGTCGCTGGGCAACACAGACTTTCAACTCCCTCCAAAGATTTTCTATGGGGTTGAGATCTGGAGACTGGCTAGGCCACTCCAGGACCTTGAAATGCTTCTTACGAAGCCACTCCTTCGTTGCCCGGGCAGTGTGTTTGGGATCATTGTCATGCTGAAAGACCCAGCCACGTTTCATCTTCAATGCCCTTGCTGATGGAAGGAGGTTTTCACTCAAAATCTCACGATACATGGCCCCATTCATTCTTTCCTTTACACGGATCAGTCGTCCTGGTCCCTTTGCAGAAAAACAGCCCCAAAGCATGATGTTTCCACCCCCATGCTTCACAGTAGGTATGGTGTTCTTTGGATGCAACTCAGCATTCTTTCTATTTTGGTTTCATCTGACCATATGACATTCTCCCAATCCTCTTCTGGATCATCCAAATGCACTCTAGCAAACTTCAGACGGGCCTGGACATGTACTGGCTTAAGCAGGGGGACACGTCTGGCACTGCAGGATTTGAGTCCCTGGCGGCGTAGTGTGTTACTGATGGTAGGCTTTGTTACTTTGGTCCCAGCTCTCTGCAGGTCATTCACTAGGTCCCCCCGTGTGGTTTTGGGATTTTTGCTCACCGTTCTTGTGATCATTTTGACCCCATGGGGTGAGATCTAGCGTGGAGCCCCAGATCGAGGGAGATTATCAGTGGTCTTGTATGTCTTCTATTTCCTAATAATTGCTCCCACAGTTGATTTCTTCAAACCAAGCTGCTTACCTATTGCAGATTCAGTCTTCCCAGCCTGGTGCAGGTCTACAATTTTGTTTCTGGTGTCCTTTGACAGCTCTTTGGTCTTGGCCATAGTGGAGTTTGGAGTGTGACAGTTTGAGGTTGTGGACAGGTGTATTTTATACTGATAACAAGTTCAAACAGGTGCCATTAATACAGGTAATGAGTGGAGGACAGATGAGCCTCTTAAAGAAGAAGTTACAGGTCTGTGAGAGCCAGAAATCTTGCTTGTTTGTAGGTGACCAAATACTTATTTTCCACCATAATTTGCAAATAAATTCATTAAAAAATACTACAATGTGATTTTCTGGAGAAAAAAATTGTCAATTTGTCTGTCATAGTTGACGTGTACTTATGATGAAAATTACAGGCCTCTCTCATCTTTTTAAGTGGGAGAACTTGCACAATTGGTGGCTGACTAAATACTTTTTTTCCCCACTGTATAGACTGATCATGTCTTTGTCAGTGGGAAAACGTACAAAATCAGCAGGGGATCAAATACTTTTTTCCCCATCACTGTATATATATATATATAGTTGAAGTCGGAATTTACGTACACATTAGCCAAATACATTTAAAAACTTAGTTTTTCACAATTCCTGACATTTAATCCTAGTAAAAATTCCCTGTCTTAGGTCAGTTATTTTAAGAATGTGAAATGTCAGAATAATAGTAGAGAGAATGATTTCTTTCAGCTTTTATTTATTTCATCACATTCCCAGTGGGACAGAAGTTTACATACACTCAAGTAGTATTTGGTAGCATTGCCTTTAAATTGCTTAACTTGGGTCAAACGTTTCGGGTACCCTTCCACAAGCTTCCCACAATAAGTTAGGTGAATTTTGGCCCATTCCTCCTGACAGAGCTGGTGTAACTGAGTCAGGTTTGTAGGCCTCCTAGCTCGCACATGCTTTTTTCTGCCCACAAATGTTCTATAGGCTTGAGGTCAGGGCTTTGTGATGGCCACTCCAATAACTTGACTTTGTTGTCCTTAAGCCATTTTGCCACAACTTTGGAAGTCTTGGGGTCATTGTCCATTCGAAAGACCCATTTGCGACCAAGCTTTAACTTCCTGACTGATGTCTTGAGATGTTGCTTCAATATATCCACATAATTTTCCTTCCTCATGATGCCATTCATTTTGTGAAGTGCACCAGTCCCTCCTGCACCAAAGCAACCACGCATGATGCTGCCACCCCCGTGCTTCACGGTTGGGATGGTGTTCTTCAGCTTGAAAGCATCCCCCTTTTTCCTCCAAACATAACGATGGTCATTATGGCCAAACAGTTCTATTTTTGTTTCATCAGACCAGAGGACATTTCTCCAAAAAGTAAGATCTTTGTCCCCATGTGCAGTTGCAAACCATAGTCTGGCTTTTTTTATGGCGGTTTTGGAGCAGTGGCTTCTTCCTTGCTGAGCGGCCATTCAGGTTATGTCGATATAGCACTAGTTTTACTGTGGATATAGATACTTTTGTACCCGTTTCCTCCAGCATCTTCACAAAGTACTTTGCTGTTGTTCTGGGATTGCTTTGCACTTTTTCGCACCAAAGTACGTTAATCTCTAGGAGACAGAACGCATCTCCTTTCTGAGCGGTATGATGGCTGCGTGATCCCATGGTGTTTATACTTGCATACTATTGTTTGTACCTTCAGGCGTTTGGAAATTGCTCCCAAGGATGAACCAGACTTGTGGAGGTCTAAAATGTTTTTCTGAGGTTTTGGCTGATTTATTTTGATTTTCCCATGATGTCAAGCAAAGAGGCACTGAGTTTGATGTCAATTAGCCTATCAGAAGCTTCTAAAGTCATGACATCATTTTCTGGAATTTTCCAAGCTGTTTAAAGGCAAAGTCAACTTAGTGTATGTAAACGTCTGACCCACTGGAATTGTGATACAGTTAATTATAAGTGAAATAATCTGTCTGTAAACAATTGTTGTAAAAATTACTTGTGTCATGCACAACGTAGATGTCCTAACCGACTTGCCAAAACTATAGTTTGTTAACAAGAAATTTGTGGAATGGTTGAAAAACGAGTTTTAATGACTCCAACCTAAGTGTATGTAAACTTCCGACTTCAACTGTGTATATGTGTATATATATATAGGTCTATTTTAATGAAAAGGCTTTGTCTAAAATATGACATTGCTACATACAAGGACTGACCATGACATTCGACATTTTTATAAAACAGTTTTATGACCGTTTTTATGAGTGCGCCACATAAAAAAGACCCGGTAGCCTACACACTTTTCATGCGTTTAGCTTGTTATTGTCGGTCAATCACAGCGGCGCTACAGTCAGAGGTTCCATGCGTAGCAAGTGAAGTGAGAGAATTACAATAACATAATTAAATCGGCTAAATGAGAAGGAGTAGGCTACAATGATCATCCAACAGGTAGGCTGTTGTTTAATATGAATAGAGTTGTTGTAGACAAGGTCGGGGACCCGCTATGCCCTCTGACGAACCATCAAACAGGCAAAGAGTCAATACTGGACTAAGATGTAATCGTACTACACCCGCTTTGACACTTGTCGGATGTGGCAGAGCTTGAAAACTATTACAGACTACAAAAGGAAGCACAGCCGCGAGCAGCCCAGTGACACAAGCCTACCAGACGAGCTAAATCACTTCTATGCTCGCTTCGAGGCAAGCAACACTGAAGCATGCTGAGAGCACCAGCTGTTCCGGATGACTATGTGATCACGCTCTCCGTAGCCGATGTGAATAAGACTTTTAAGCAGGTCAACATTCACAAGGCCGCAGGGCCAGACGGATTACCAGGACGTGTACGCCGAGCATGTGCTGACCAACTGGCAAGTGTCTTCACTGACATTTTCAACATGTCCCTGACTGAGTCTGTAATACCAACATGTTTCAAGCAGACCACCATAGTCCCTGTGCCGAAGGACACTAAGATAACCTGCCTAAGTGACTACCGACCCATAGCACTGACGTCTGTAGCCATGAAGTGCTTTGAAAGGCTGGTCATGTCTCACATCAACACCATTATCCCAGAAACCCTAGACCCACTCCAATGTGCATACCGCCCCAACAGATCCACAGATGATGCAATCTCTATTGCACTCCACACTGCCCTTTCCCACCTGGACAAGAGGAACACCTACGTGAGAATGCTGTTCATAAACTACAGCTCAGCGTTCAACACCATAGTGCCCTCAAAGCTCATCACTAAGCTAAGCATCCTGGGACTAAACACCTCCCTCTGCAACTGGATCCTGGACTTCCTGACGGGCCGCCCCCAGGTTGTAAGGGTAGGTAACAACACATCTGCCACGCTGATCCTCAACACGGGGGCCCCTCAGGGGTGCATGCTCAGTCCCCTCCTGTTCACCCATGACTGCATGGCCAGGCACGACTCCAACACCATCATTAAGTTTGCTGACGACACAAC